TATTTATATAGTATATACATATTTTTATTTATATATTTATATAGTTCTGTATATATTTCCTAAGCTCCTCAGCCTCATCTAGTGGCCATAATGTATTATTATAACACACTACATTCAAATTGGAAAAAAAAAGTATTTTAAGAAAATTTTTGGGGGGCATTTTTCACCATAAATGAACATCCAGAGACCATTATTTTCATATAATTGTGTGGTAGTTCAACAGTACACATGCATGGTATAGTATCATTAGATGTAAATATAAGCTATGGGCATGACTGTAGTTATACTGGAGGCTATGACTAAGAAGCTCAGTTTACTAGTATAATTTTTTCCAAACACAAGAGTGGATCTATATGTGGTAATAGAATCTGAGATGTCAGTTGAAAAGTATTTAGTTCAGAGATATATTTAGTATTAAAAGAACGCAATTGGATGATCACGGTCAGTTGCCTTGTTTCTAGCTATCAGTTTCATTATACCTGATTTGCTGTTAAAGCCCAATTGAAACCTTAATATGTATTACCATAATATAGTCAGGCTGCATGTACAGTATTTAATATGCTCTTCTTTCTATATTTTTGTAGTTATTAAGTGCTGTAGCCAGACCACTGCTCTCACACATAATGCAGCTTCCCTCCTGGGTCTCCAGCAGGCTGACATGCCCCAGACACAGAGGGTTGTTAATTGGAGCACTGTGCAGGAGGTATGTTGGACTGTTGGAAACGCGGGAATATCTGTGCAAGCAGTGGTCTGGCTCTCTAGCAGCTGATAGAAGAGAGTATTTTAACCCTTGCTGCAGCAGTTAGTGATTATAAAACACAGAAATAGGTGCTTACTTATTACTCTATATGTAGCCCTGCTGCATTACCCTTATAAATACTGGGTCTTCAGTTGGGCTTGAATCCAATGTTGTTGTCTTCTGAATATTATAGCATATCAGTATATCCTGTTTATGTTACTATGACCATTATCCTGATACATTTGTTTTATGACACAAAGTTGATATTTTTCTAGATACCGGGATTATCGAGCACCTCCTTGGAGCTCCTCCCCCTATGAGTTCACCCTGCAGTTCTGGCATGTACTGGCTGCACGGTTAGCCTTTATTATAGTATTTGAGGTACGTATTATTCTACTTCCACAAACAAATTAATTCATATGTTCTATAGAAATATGCTATATAATAATGCATAATGAAATCAGAGGGGCCTAGTTTGGCATCCTCACTCCGGGCACTGAAGGACCTTTTTCCATAAGCGGCTATGTACTGCACTTTATTGCCTTCACTGTTTTATTGAGTATCAGATGCACCATTTTACCCAGTGCAATATGATTTTCCAAGCCTGCACACCTCTTACTTGGACATGTACCTATACATACTAGGTGTTTAATGGTGTATTGATATTTAGAGTACAGTGTTCCTTGCTGGACTTTTCTCTTCCTTCTCCACCCGCAAAAATAATAACTGGGCTCCCTAGCAGCCAGTCTCAGTGCTTTTCAATAGATCTCCCTTCACCTACCTTTCAAGCATTGCCATAGTACAGCCTTATTTTGGTCCTGTTGGCATTGTCAGAGATCGCATAATGAGAGGCCTCGGCTGTTGAGTGAGGACGTGACTGAGAAATTCACTATTTACTAAAGGGATTCTCTGAGACAGAGGATAATTAGGTTTAGGGGACATTATTATTATTTTATATATCACTAAACAAGTAAGATATAGCAGTTTTATTCAGAATACTGTAGTATGAGCTATATACTGTATGATTTCAGTGGATTTAAATACAAATACACACATATACAATTATTGGTTGTATCACCTGTATAAATAAAGATTGTACAATAATGGGCTTTTTCATTACACACATTGATGCATCATACATCAGTATTAGCCCTTCTGGCCCTGTGTGAACAAAGCAGCCAAGGAGGGTCAGTCCTATGTCTAATTCTGGCCTATTCTGCTTGTGCTAATGAGCTCTGTAGGCAGACGTTTTCAGCAACACAGGTAAACATAGCCTGTAAAACATGTTAAAATGAGCCAAGTCCCCCACATGTTTTTGGGAAATGGAAATATTAACATTCAGTATTTCATTTATATTTAATAATATACACTGATCAGCCATAACATTTTAACCACCTGCCTAATATTGAGTAGGTCTCTGTTTTGCTGCCAAAACAGCCCTGACTTGTATAGGCATGGACTCCACTAGACCTCTAAAGGTATGCTGTTGTTTCTGGCACTAAGCCATCAGTGACAGTTCCTTTAAGTCCTCTAAATTGTGAGGTGGGGCTTCCTTTGCTCCCCAAGTGCATCAATGAGCCTTAGCTGCCCATGACCCTGTCAGCAGTTCATCAGTTTTCCTTTCTCTGACCACTTTTGGTAGGTCCTGACCACTGCACACAGGGAATATCCCACAACAGCTGCAGTTTGGAGTTGCTCTGACCCAGTTGTCTAGCCATCACAATTTGGTCCTTGTCAAAGTTGATCAAATCCTTACACTTGCCCATTTTTTTCTGTTTCCAACACATCAACTTCAGGGACAAAATGTTCACTTGGTGCGTAATATATCCCACCCACTTCCAGGTGCCATTGTAATGAGATCATTGTATTCACTACACCTTTCAGTGATGATACTGTTATGGTTGCCAAATGTAAATGATGAAGAAAGAAAATATATGAAAAACCACCATACCTTACCTGTATTGATATTTATTTGTATTTCTCCTTTTCTAGCACCTTGTGTTTGGAATTAAGTCCTTCATTGCTTACCTCATCCCCGATATGCCCAAAGATCTCTGCGACCGAATGAGACGGGAAAAATATCTAGTGCAGGAGATGATGTATGAAGCCGAGCTGGAGCACTTGCAACGGGAAAGGAAAAGGAATGGAAAACACTTAAACCATGAATGGCCTTAAAGGAAGCAAAATGGCAGCTTGAGATGAAAAGAGTACAACCCCTAAACATGTACATAATATTATATACATATGTATACACTACAAACAGGAGCATATATGTATATAATATGTGGAACACCTTTTTGGAAACTGGAACATCTGCAGCGTCACTAAGGATAGAGTGACGATCAGTATTATGTGGATTGGAACATCTCCAGAGTCATGTGACCTCTGTCAGGTGCTGGCAGCTGGAAGTGAGGTCTGTGATGCGGAGAGAAGTTGCTGTTTGCTAAGTACAGTAAATACTTATTTCTGTACCATTCTCTAATGCAAACTTCAAAGAGATGTCTAATATACTTCTGGCTGCTGCACCTCCCATAATGCTCAGCAAAGAAGCTGGCCAAGAGGATCATCAGTAAGCATAAAGGTAGTTCTACTTTCGTAATTCATTCAGAACAAGGTAAAAAATGAAATGTGCACTGGACTGGAAAAAAAAACGGAAGGTGAGTGAAATTCACTTCACCTTTTTTTTTTTTTATTCAACACAAATGACTAAGTAATACCTAACAATGCAACTTAAAGAGAACCATTTCTATTCAAACGGCTTGACATCTCAGCACATATGCTTTGGATCTTGCAAATGAAAGGTTTTTTCATTGCTTTTGTGATCCAATGTAAAGGATTGCATGATAAGACTGGGAAAGCTCCAGTACGGATCGTAATGACACTTTTCCAAAGACAGCGTTTATACAAAAGCACTACTTGGACAATGCAGAAAGCTTGGAGATTGTGCAATGAGCAAAGCATTCCTGCAAGGCAGCATCAACGAAGCTCCAGCATACGCCAACTAACTCAACATCGCTCACAAAAGAATCAGCCATTGGAGACTTGTGTTTTAGTGGTGTGATGCTTCCTGCTTTGTGTACAACTTGCATACAGAAATTAATTCAGGCCATTTGGTTTCAAAAGCTTTTATAGGACAATTTTGTGCAAAACTAATATGACAGTTTTGAGTGGATGCTGGAAGGTTGGATCACTCACCAGCTTTTGCCAGGGACCTTTATTGAAAGTGCTCCCATGTGACTTTTCAGGTGATCCCACCTGCTCTAGCCATTATTAGGAAATATCTGTTGTTGGGCTCACCCTTTAGGGCTTCCTCACACCATACTGATCCATTGCAGTGATGACGCACATTGCATTTAAACAGCCTATTAATTGCAGCGCAGGTACCTACTGTAGTTGTGCGTTGGGGGGGGGGTAATTTTAAACTAATGGCAACGCAATGCATCACAAAATGCATACCGCAATGTAAGGGTGTGAAGACAGCCTAAAAACAAAGTGCACATTTTGTCCCTTTACTCTAACCTCCCCCTCAACTGATGCATATTATCTCAATCTGATGGTCTTGGCCTCTAGTGCTTGTTTACATACAATGCCACAAGTCTCTCTGTCCCGGGCGCGCTGGTGCATAAAAGTTCATAGTACTGTGTCTCAAGGCTGGAGACAAAGGGAGAGGGTGTGAGACAACCCTATAAAGGTGTATGGGGCTCTAATGTGTGCCCTCAGCTGGGATGTACAGAAAAAAACATAAGTGTGCATCTGTAAAGGGGGAGGTTAGGTTAGATTAAGCCAGGGGAAAGGGATCAGTGTATGTTGATTAGAAGTTATCCTGTAAAGGAAAAGTGCACTCCTCCCTCTTTCAATCTATGTCCATGCCATTTATTTAAAGTAATATACAGTACCAAACTTTAATGCAGATGCATTGGCAGGTTTGGGGATTCATCCTTGGAGCCAGTAAATAGGGACACAACCTTTGTCATCCAAAGCAACATCCCCTTCTGCCCTTTTTTTAAAATAATTTTACAGATCCCAACTGCACTTAAATACTGTGATAATAAGCGTATTCCTTAAATCCCATCAAGAAGTTAACTTAATTGCAGAATATTAAGTCAAAACCTTGCTTGCACTGGTGGTATGATGCAAGACTGGAAAGAGACACCTTGTGGCTCTGGGCTGGCTGCATATTAATGATTGCTGCAGAGCTGTGTCACAGTTCACAATACATTACCATGTACATACTTAGTACGGGGAGTCTGCTTAAGATAGGTGCACTAATTATTGTTTTTTCTTTAACTTTTCCCGAAACCAATTTTTTAGCTTTAAGTAACTACTGGGGGTTTAACATTACATAAGCTGGTAGGTTCCTTTGGACTTTTGAAGTGAGACCTGTTTTGTCAGTTTTTCCAGCTGTGTTCTATCTCCATTGCCATTCAAAAGATAAAGGGGTTGCCATTTCCCAAGTTCAAAGCATTATATAAATTAAAATGATTGCAGAACCCAACAAGGATAGTGCTTTCTTAAATGTATCTAAAACCAAACATTCTCTTGCCATCTGTTCAGGGGGGAATTTCCATCCCAGAGACACAACAAGAAGGGATAGAAACTCCAAAGTCCCTTTATAGTTGTCGCCATTATCCGTTTATTACAGATCCAGAACAACAGTAACATTTTCTTTTTCCCTTTGTGCCCCAATGACAATAGTCACAAAGACAAATAGAGAGGGTAAATCTCCAACGCAAACATACAGACAGCAATGAAAACCTGGCAGGGGTTCTAATCAAACTCTATCCATGCAGAAAAAAACTGGCTTTAGATATAGTTTAAGAGTAATTGTGGATCGGCGGACATATCTCCACTAGAATCCCTGATACATTTTTATGGTCATTGCTCATGGGTGGAGCATGGAACTTTGGTGTTGGTCATATCACCTCTAGAATCCCTGAAATACAGTATATGTCATTCAAATTCCTAGTAACCCCCCACATCTGAGATATCATTAATGGTCTCTTGTATATTTATAACCATGAGATACTTTGTGTGAAAGAGGACAAAACACATTGTAACAAATGTGAAATAACTATGCAGTTTAATAGTGTGTTCCCATGTTCCTAACACACAGGGATCCTCTGTGTCATTCAAATGGTTAATCCATTCAGTGTTACAACTTTCCCTCACTGAAAGGATTAATGTGCTTCAATTGCATGAAGATGTCAATCTAGAATTTCTTCTAGTGAAGTGTATATATAGCCAAAACTATGGTGATCTAGTTACCATTGCAGCGGAAGAGAAAGTGTTGAGCAATCACAAGAACAAGAGGAAAGATCCGAGCCCATTGACATTTGCGCACTGAGGCAATGAGCTCTAAAACACATGCATAAATAGGTGTTGCTACAATGCATGACAATGCACCTGCTCTATGCGTGTTGTGGTGTCATTAATTGTGAATGGCTTCTCGATGCATTGCACAATGAAGTGCAATACATGACACACCGTAGTGAGTTCTGGTGTGCTGTATTTTGATAAAAGGGTCATTCATATTTTTTCATCTATTGTGGAACGTTGGCAGCCCATGTGTAATGAATAGACTGCCTTAATGCAACACATGTTAACATGTACAGTCACCTGCTTTAATGCACTTCACTGTATCGCCCACGTGTGAATGGTCCCTGACAAATTCAATGGGGACTCATGTTTCCTTGAAAACTGAAACTTGAAGAGATTTCTTCTCATGTCCTGTTATGTCTCTCAGACAGAAAATACGAGGAAATTCCCCAATGGGACACATGCAGCCAAAAATAAACTTTCTTTAAATGTTATACTAATTCCTAAACAAACAAAACATTTTTTGGCTATACATAAAGTTTACAAATTTTGCAAAGAAAACTGCAAAAATTCCAGCGTTTTACTACAAAACACTGAATACCCTATGAGATACATTTGAAATACTGTTGCATGCTTCAACATACATCTTTGCAGATGTTTTGGGTGTAATGCCAGCTATAAAAATCATTAGTTGAGGTGGTAAGGCCTGCCTCATATTGATGTGTTACAAAATGACAGTAAAATAATTTAAAAAAAAGAAAGTTTTCACATTTTTATAAGAAATACAATAATTACTCCAGTAACAGTTTTAAAATGCAGCTTGGCTGGAGGTAGACTGTGGCAGATCACAATTACTACTATATGTCGCTATCACTTCAAATATATCTATATTCAATTTTTTTTTCAGTTTTGTTTAGAATAGAAAAAGATTGGAACCCCTGTGAGGTTTTACTGCTATCCAAAGCTTCGAAATCTCTCTTCAATAAAGCCCCCAACTGCAGTAAAATGTAACAGGAGTTCTAACCTTTCCTCACTGTACAAAGAATAGTTTTGGGTATATATATACTTTAATTGTAAGCCCTGCAGATATAATGTCTTCACAGGGAAGCTCTATTAAGAGTGACAATAAACAGCATATTTTGTTTACCTATTTGATTCAATGGCCATATGAAAAGCTCAGACAACGATCAAGTTGTTTCAGGCTGCCTGAGGGGATAATAATGACCTCTGGTTATTGTACACAAAAAAAATCAATTTACTCCATCCTCAACAGAACCAAAGCTTCCATCTTTTTACTGAGAAAAGAAAAGGATGTTATTAACTGCCACTGCACTACTTCTACCTGGCCAATTTACAAGACATATTGCTGCAGGCCCAGCATGCTCAAGAATTGAAAGCCTTTTGGAATGGGGGCGACATTTGCCTGTCCTTGGCTACCCCAAGATTGTAACAGAAACTAACTGTAGCCCAATTGAACGTTCAGTTTTAATCAGCTAAATACATTGCATTTGCATCCAAATGAAAGGTGTGCAAGGCCACAAAAGCCACCACACCCTGAGTAGAAAAACCTGCCCCCTGCCTGATTACTGAAGAGAAGGGGCCTTTCTCTCTGGGAAACAGGTGTCTGACTCACTTTCTGCTGTGTCAGATCTATAGCTGGGCAATTGGCAAAGCTTTAGCCCCCTGCCAATTGAAGAGCTGTAGCTCTGACACAGCAGGGGGCAAGTCCAACCTGTGCAAAGAGACAACTGCTTCCACCCAGAGAGCAAGGGTCCTTCTCTTCAGCAAGCTTCCAGGTCAAGTTTTTTTACTTAGGATGTGACTGCTTTCTGAAAAAAAACTATTACTTTGCACAGGTT